GCGACTACCGCTCTACGCCTCGCCCCTCATCAAGTTCCAAAAGGCCTGCTACCAGCTGACCGCCTCCAACATCTGGTACCTGTCGGGTGCGCCGACAGCTGCTCAAGCAACCGCCCGGAGCTCGCTGGCCTTTCCGCCCGGGCGCTTGCCACCCGCACCCACCGCCCTGCCCACCCGCACCCAGCCCCTGCCCCCACACCAGCATCTCCCTGCCCCACCTTCCGCCTGCAGTGCGCATCGCCTACCCCTGCTTTGGCGAGCCACGCCGAGTGAACAACAGGATTGTGGGCTACCAGGCGTACGGGCGCTGGCGCACGCACAACCTGTTCGTGAAGATCGCGCAGCTCATGCCGCAGTACGGCGTGACCCAGCCGTACGAGGTGGCCGAGGTGTACCGCTACTGAAGCAGCAGTGCACCGGCCGCCAGCCGTACGAGCCTGCACCGTTGCTGCAGAAGCTGTGCCGGTGCAGGCGGCGCCCGCCAGCGGTTTGCCCTGCTACAAGGCCCCAGGTTGAATGGGTGCTAGCACACAGCCGCGGCGCCTGTTCGTGGCCAGTCTACGACCTGCCACCAAGCTTCGGGTTGAGCGGCAGCCCGAAGCCGCGTTTACGACCAGTCCCACCCTGAGTTTGTTCATCAGACCCACTGTTGCCTGATGCCACCCTGGCCCTTCCTGAAGCAGTACTGATTACCCACAACACTACACACCTTGAATCCTTGCCCACGCTGTGCCTGCATTCCAACTCTTGCGTTGTGCCACTTTTGGCTCGCTGCACACAGCGGCAGTACATGCGCGGTCCTTGAGCCGCCGCGCTTGATGCCCCTGTTGTCCAGACGGCCACGTTCGTGTGCTGCTGTTGTTCAAATGCCATCTTTGGTAACTGTGCAATCATTGCTGACTGTGCACAATGAAAGAAAAAATCAGGAAGAGAGAGATTAAGTTACGTTTCGATGGTGTTCGACTATGCAGATACAACCAAAACGTAGTCACTTTGCAATGGTGGTGGCCTTCGCTCATGTTCGCTCATGTTGCCTTTTTCCAAAGTGCTGGCACCAGTACCAGCATCACTTAGCGTGCGCTTTGCGCTGCGGCTCGGCGCCGCGCCAGCTCGGCCCGCCGAAGCTCGACCTGGGCCCGGTACAGGTCAGCAGGCATTGGTTCCTGCCATGTGATCACCTTCCAACCAGCATCAGGGCACTGCAGCACCACAGTGCAGCAGAGAGGGCTTGGGCTGGTGCTGCGCATACGGTAGATGACACGCACCGAGGCGATAGCCTGGCCCGCACACAGTCCACACTGTACTGCTAGCAGAGGCACTCGGCATGGTCAGCACCCCAGGCCTGCTCACCACATCGCCGGTCTGGCTGGGTCGCTTCAGCACGAAATTCAGGAGCGGTCCAAAGGAACATTGGGGCAATTTCACTTCCTGGCTGGCGTTGGCAGCGTAAAGGTTCCACAGGCAGGCTGCGCGTCCGGTGTAGGCGCCGCGGTCCTTCCTACCGCCGCTCGCAAAGGGGCGCGTGCCCGCGCCAAGATTCACGTCGGTGAACAGGTTGGCCATGGGCCCTGCCACGTGCCAGGTGGGAGAACATGGCAGCGAGCATCGATCAGGGTGAAAGACTATCTGGTGATGCAAGCAGCGGAAATCAGGGAACATGCCCACACAAGCTAGCCGCCCTGCTCGCATGTGGCCTCACCTGCTCGGTGGTGATCCATGTTCAGATCTACCCCAGAGACTGCAGTTGCAACAGAGAGTCAAATCAGTGAAGTGCGGAGCACAGCAGTATGGGTGCCCGCACATCTTGCAATGCTGCGGTTATTAGTTGCTTTTTGCTTGTGTGGGCTTAAAGTCTGGTAAAGCAAGAACTAGCTTGCAACATAGACTCCCCGCCGAAACGGGACGGGAACCGGGCGAAAGCAGAGAAAGCAATAAAACAGGGGTGGAGCAAGGCGACATGCAACGCAAGCAGCTGACAGGGCACGCATCGAAACGTGTGTATGACTGGCAAAGTGGCATGGCGCATTGGGGAGAAACGCAACGGTACGGGAGCATGGGCTGGCCAAACGGCAGTGCGGAACGCTAGGTCACTAGAAAAGCAGGGAAAGGCGCACTATGTATGCAATGAGGGCAGCCCCGGCTCGGGGCCGTTGAGAAAGCAGTGGGCGGGAGGGGGGAGGCCCCGGTGTGGGCGGGCCCCATCGAGGGGGGATGGGGCGCGCAAGCGGCCAGATGGGGCGGGGCGCGGGCGGCAGTGGAGTCCTGCGGCTGGGTGGGATATAGGGCAATGAGCGTTGAGCAGTGTGCGATGAGCAATGAGCAATGAGCAGTGAGCAGCCCCTCCCTAAACAAAGTGAAGCGCAGGACGGGGTCCGGTGGATGGGAGGCAAGGAAACGCGGGGGGTTGCCACGTGCGCTACCGCCGCCGCCGCAGGCAGCACCCCTGCGGCGGCGGCAGCGGCAGCAAGCCGTGGACCCAAACGCCGTGCCGCCGCCGCCGCAGGCAGCACCCCTGCGACGGCGGCGGCAGCAAGCCGTGGACCGAAACGCCGTGCCGCCGAGTCCCGTGGCTGTGGCCGTGGGCTTCTGGCAGGAAACTACGGCCGCAGCTCGGCAGCACGGGGGCGTCGCAGCGTGCCGCCGCCGCCGCGCTGCCCCCCGGGCACGGCGGCGGCGGCAGCAAGCTTGGGCCCAAACGCCGTGCCGCCGAGTCCCGTGGCTGCGACCGTAGACCGTGGGCCGGAAACTGCGGCCGCAGCTCGGCGGCACGTGGTTCTGGTCAAATCGCCAAGCGTGCAGCAGCGCCGAACCACGCTTCCCGGCCTCGGCGCATGCCTTCAGGGGCCCCCTATCGCTGGGCACACCATAGTTGTGTTTTGGAGGAAACGTGCCATTTCATAGGGCCGTACCTTGAGAGAACACAGAGAGCTTCTGCCCGGTGCTGACCGTGAAGTCATGATAATACCTCTTCTTGACAACACAGCTGCGGGAGCAGGATGCGCGGCGCCATGAGCAGGCTGGCAACGCCCAGCACGATTAAACGGAGGCAGTGGCAGGTAATAGGCTTACTTCTGGTAGAGCACCGACTGCCCATCAAAGGTGGCGGTGAGTGCATGGTGGCCATTGAGGTTCTTGCCGTCGTCAATGGTTCGGTCCACAGAATCCACCACCACGCCTGCACCATGCCGGTGAGAAGCATTGCATGAGAGGCTGCGGCTGCATACTTCACGTGTAGGCACAGGGCATTGGGGGGTTCAGAAAGAGGCGTGGATGGTGCGTGGTCCTGCCCACCTGACACGGTGACAAATTCTGACTCGGTGACGAAAATCTACAGCACACACGCCAGCCAAGAGAAAGACGTAAAACAAATGGTTGCCCTGTTCCACGATCGCCAGGCGGGCACCCGCTGCAACCCAGCCTGCCCGTTGCCCCAGCACTTACCCCGTTGTCGGCATTCTCAATGCCCACGTTGCGCACCCAGCAATTTGAAACGTTGACCAACTGCGCAAAGGACAGTGATTTTAGCGGGGGTAGGAGACAGGTGCTACGGCCTGCCAGGCTACGCCTGTCGCTGCCTGTTGCCCCCCGACCCACCTGGATGGCGTTGTACCCACGATCTGAGTGGTGACCGTTGTACCGGCCGGACCTGCGGGCAGGAGGAGAGCCGGCAGCTGGGTCATGCCGGCACCTGACTCACGGCACGAGCGGCAGCGTGCCTCGCAGACTTCTCGGTCAGGCTGGCAGGAGGCTCACTTTCGGAAGGTGATGGTGAGGTCCTCCACAGCATTGTTCTGGATGCCAGGCATGTACTGGACAAGGACTGCTTTCCACCCAGGCTTTACTGCAGGCGTACCAGGCATACAAGCAAGGCAGGGCATTGGGCGCTCCGCTGGCATGCAGGCGGCGGGGGCACAGTAGCGCCTCTCATGCACGCTTGGCCAGCATGGTGGTCGAAAGCGTACCGGGGTGAATCAGATCACGATCGGTCTCGATGAAGCCCCTGCCTACCCGGGTCACCTTGAATGCCAGTCGTGTGGAGGCCGAGTTGACCGCACCAGGACCACCGCTGCAGGAGGGTGACCCCGGGCATGAGGGGTGCAGAGCCGTTCAGTTCAACGATTCACAAAACAACTAGCGGTTGCCACGCCCTGTGTGGCACGATGCATGCTTTGTCAGCCTCTGCTTTATCCTGAAGCTGTGCCCTTCCGGATGCAGGTGCAAACAGCTGCAATGACTAGCTAGAGCAGGTGCAGAGCCGACCAGGAGCCAAGCACGCGAGCGTTGAGCTGTGGGGTTGCATAATGCTGGCTCAGTGGGAGCCCTCGGCAGCCTCAATCAACAGCTTGGGGCACCATAGTGCAGCTCTGCGCTTGCCTGTCGGCCTTGTGCTTGTGTGGGCTTAAAGTCTGGTAAAGCAAGAACTAGCTTGCAACATAGACTCCCCGCCGAAACGGGACGGGAACCGGGCGAAAGCAGAGAAAGCAATAAAACAGGGGTGGAGCAAGGCGACATGCAACGCAAGCAGCTGACAGGGCACGCATCGAAACGTGTGTATGACTGGCAAAGTGGCATGGCGCATTGGGGAGAAACGCAACGGTACGGGAGCATGGGCTGGCCAAACGGCAGTGCGGAACGCTAGGTCACTAGAAAAGCAGGGAAAGGCGCACTATGTATGCAATGAGGGCAGCCCCGGCTCGGGGCCGTTGAGAAAGCAGTGGGCGGGAGGGGGGAGGCCCCGGTGTGGGCGGGCCCCATCGAGGGGGGATGGGGCGCGCAAGCGGCCAGATGGGGTGGGGCGCGGGCGGCAGTAGAGTCCTGCGGCTTGGTGGGATATAGGGCAATGAGCGTTGAGCAGTGTGCGATGAGCAATGAGCAATGAGCAGTGAGCAGC